GGATAGGTCTACTTATACCTCACCGGTGAACCGGATGAGTCCACTTGCATACTTAAAGTATTTCTAAATCTCTTTAAACATTCGAAAGCAGCAATATCATGTACTCAACATATCACTGAAATTATTAATATGAATTTCACTGAAACCATTAATAACAGTAACTTTCAATAACATTTCACAAATATCCAATCAAATATTTTGGGCTCAAATTTAGAAAAGTAGCAGTTCGTAAAGACATTTTAGTATAATTGCCAATTTAATATACATAGAAAAACTCTTATAGAAATTCAAGAATACGGAACTATCACAATTTATGGGATGTCAATTTACAAATAAAACCTTTCATAGACAATGCTATAATCAAATGCAAAAATATCAGTTTTCAACTAATAAGGCAGTCATTTGCACATGAATTTTACAATGTCTAAATATTCAAAAACAGTAGAAAGAAATCTCAGAATTTTACTAAAAGCAAAAATATCACATTTATTTCTAATAATTTTACAGTATCTAAAATTCTCTAACAATAGATAAGAAAAATAAATAGATTTATTTATAAGAATTACAACATTTAAAATTTCTAACATAGATAAAATATCACAATTTTATTAAAAAGGTTATTTCTCAAAATAATGAGGTCGCTTACGCATAAAATTTATCACGTCTAAAACTCATGATAATTAGCAGAAGTAATTATTTCATTTCATTTTTAAAAAGAACGGATTATTTTTCAAGATAATGAAGTCACTTACTTAAAATATTTGAGAGGGGGCTTTCGATAAAAATTCGGCTTGAGAGAGGAGCTCACTGTGTTTCGACTAAAGAGAGAAAGATCTCAAAAGTTTTCTAGGGTGGGAGTCCTCACTTCTCTGAATTTAAATTCTTAAGACATATTATTATACTATTTGATTAAGCTCCACCTCATATATGAGGTGTAACGATAATGTTATACGTGAAGCCTTTGAGGCCCATGTCAATAAAAGGACGTGGTAAAGGAAAGGAAAAAGTTAACAAAAGTGGTGATGGTTCATAAGGACCATAGTACTTATATGGACCATCACACTATAAAGAATTATTATTTATTTATTAATTTTTTTTTTTTTTGAAAGTTTAGGATTGTTCCAATTGGGCATTGCCAATCCAAATCAAGAATTGGCCCCATTGAAACAACTCCTGGTCGGAATTGGGAATATGTCAACTTTAGATGGATTCGCTGGATTTTTTTAAGGAACTGGGCGTGTTATCAAGGAACCAGGTGATCCAGATAGGTCGATCCACTTGCTTCCCATTGATTATATTTTTTTATTTTTAAAATTTTTATTTTATCAATATTTTAAAACCCATTGATCGAGATCAGGAATCGGTTGGGACCGAACTGGAAAAGTAATGAATTGTCCTGGTTTTCCCCTAAAGACCCCACCCCTTTTATATTTTCTTCTTTTAAGCGTAAATAAAGTTTTCTTAGGACCCCCTAATCCACCCATAAACCCCTTATTTTATTTTATTTTATTTTGTAATATTTTCTCAATCGCCAATTGGACCGATGGGATCGGCGATTCGACATAGATCTATAGGGTGAACGATTCACTTCGACTCTTTTAAAATATTAATTGTTTAGAATCAATTTTCACACAAATGAATTGCTCCGATTCACTAATTTGGATCGGCCGGATTTTTAAAAAGTTAGTGCAACGATCCCATCCGTTATTGATTAGACTCAAAATTAAAAAAAAAAAAAAAAATCTCGAACTTTGTGACGTATTCCAAACCAAGAGTATTTATGATTTGTCGTATACAATCCCATTTATTTATCCCTTTCTTTACTAATCGTTGGGGTTCGTCGGCCCAGCACAGATGACACGTCCTTCATCTAATTCCACTTAGAATAATCCTCATGCTTGTGGTTTACACTTTAGACGATCTACAATGAGAATAATCCTTTTCATGCATTTAGTGTTGAGATTCGACAGAATCAATATCACGCATGAAGCAAACATATGAAGAAAGAACGATAGATACTTTCTAGATAGATACTTTCTATATGCAACTAAAATAATAATGATAATAATAATTTGCATATGCTTGCAGTTTGTTTCATGTGTGAACCCTTTTTTTTTTTAATTATTATTATTATTTTGAATAGAATGTCATGTGTGAACCTTAATCAAAGTATGACACATCTTTAAATGCAATTTCAATGCCAGAAATATTTAGGACAACCGTTGTTTTACCCTTGATTATAAATTTGAAGCTAACAAAATTGCAAATTGATCTCATAAAAGTTTGAAAATAGACGGTCAAGATAATGTGTTACAGGATGTATTATTTTTAAAATTGAAACTTTTTTTCTTTTTATATCCATGGATCTTGAGGTTGAGATGATTAATTATGAGAGTTTTCAATTTCAAAACCGCTTTTCAAATTGATTTTTGAGTACCACCGTACATCTATATTATCTTGTAAGGTTGATACCTTACATAAACTATTCCCTTCTCATATATATGATCTATATTAATTGAAGATCATGATACCACAGAAACTATATTCCCAATACCACAGAAACTATATTCCCAATTAATTATGGGAACTTTACTAAGGGAAAATACATTTGCATATATAAACAAGTACGCTAAATTCATTTCGGTGAAATTTACATAATAGTCACCTTGCGACTTTCATCCTGATCGATGTACGGTGGATATGGAGCAACAGTTCGACTCTTGATTCCTCCATATTTTATTTTTTATTTTTTTAAATTTTTTTGACGAGAGTAATAAATATTATTAGATCATGGGAGCAATTACAATGATATAAAGATTAAAATGACGAAAGAGAAACAACCAAAAAATCTAAAAATGCCTCTTTTTTTTTTTTAATAAGTGGCCTCATCTCGACCATCCGTCTAGGATGGATGATGGACGGGCTGTCTATGAAACATATTCCTCCTCATTAAATTTCACCATGATACTAAAAAGGGATTGCTTACAAATATACCATTTATCTTTTATACGTGACGGTTACAATCATTTCCACTTATTAAATGTCAAATTGGATGGCTTGGAGTGAGCCAACGATACAATTTTTTGAAACTTTGTGTTTATTCAATGACACTTTTTATAGACAATCCTTATTAAGAATATGGACTTCAGGTAATAAAAATTCCAGGAGATCTTAGACTCTGATTGTACTTTTTAAGGGTGCAAAAGGAAGAAAAGGTTATGGAAAAACATAATACAATCCATGGGTCGTAGTAACAACAATGATCATGGGCCATCCAGCCAATTGGTTGGGTGGTGAAGGAGAAAAGTAACACGAAATTGAATTGTACACCAACTCTCCATCATGGTCTAACCCATCTCTCATTACAATGACCATATGAATCATATGATAATGACCTTAATTCCAATAATCTACCGCAGTTGTACTGGAACTCTATGATGATGGGCCTCTTTCTTTATGTTACCCCCAAATATCACCAGTATCATCAATCATCTTCCTACTCTTGAAATGCCAGAATGGTGTGACCATATGGAAAATCTTCAAAAATGCTATGTTATGGCAAATCTGGTTGTAGTGCAACAAAAAGGACCATTGATGGGGTCTTCCCTAATATCGAAGAGGTGAAAGATTGTATTTTATAGTCATTATGGAACTGGTTTTCTTGTAGATGGTTGTAGTGTTCTACAGTCTGACATTTTTGTTAGCCTAAAAAATCTTGCTTCTTCCTTCTCTTATTTTGGTCGTCCTCTTCAGACCTGGAAGTGCCCTGTAGATGACCGTCTCAAACTTAACTTTGATGGGAGTTCATTTGGCAACCTAGGCCTGATCGGAGTTGGCGGTATGCTCCGTGATGGTGCTGGTCAGGTTCTCTTTCTTACCCTGGCTCCTGTGGCAACACTACGGCTAACAATGCAAAAATATTTTCTCTTTTACAAGGCCTGAAAATTATTATTGAGAAGGGTTTTCAGGTGATATTATTGCTAAATGTAACTCTTTAAATGTTGTTAAATGGTATAGTCAAGAGCAACGGATGTCATAGTCCTTACATCTTTTTTGGGTTAACATTTATGATCTTTGTGATGTTCCATCTTTGCAAGTTTTCGAGAAGCTAATGATGTCGCAAATGGGCTTGTTAAGTTTGGAGTTTCCCTTTAATCTCTACTTGTTTCGCCTGATTTAATTCCGACTCTATAACTCCATTTTGCTTCAGCATATTATCAATAAAAGCTCATAACATTCTACAAGAAAAAATAAATGGACGGTGAGAAGATACACACCATATATATGGTTGTACATGGTTTTTTGGTAGTTCAGTGGAGATGGGATCCCCTACTTATAATGGTAGTGGAACTTAAGTCGTCATATTATGTGGCTATGCCATCCTAACCACTTAGCCTTGAACCCATTTCTATAAGGTCAAAATTGCTTTAAGGATGTATATTGTAAGTTACAACAAGTGTATTCACTCTTTCTCATATAGAACAATGGTTAATCTCCACCATTCATCGTTGGAGATAGAGGGTGAATTGTAGATGTTTTTAATGCACAATATACACCATACACTTGATGTGTATATTGGTTACGGCCAAAAAGGTTTATTTACTCCCTCAAGCGAAATATACAATAGGAATATATTAGATACGAAAAGTTGGAATGTGATCTCTAAAATCTGGCAACTAACCTCATAAAAAATAATTTTTTTTTTGCTTTTTGTATTTCTTTTTGGAAAAAAAAAAAAAAAAACCCAACTTGCATTAGAACCATCTCATTTTTGGAGAAAATGATATGTATAAAATCAAAATCGAGTTTTTTATTGAAAAATAATTGTCTTCTTGACATTAGATGGATCCCTAAGTTTCCAAAAAAAAAAAAATATATATATATAAATCCCAAACTTTCAAAAAAGAAAAGGAAAACAAAAGACTAGTTGTTTTTTTTTTTTGCCAAAGGGAGTAAATGCCGAGGGAGCATAGTACACACGCTCGTAGTCTTCAGACATTTTGGTCATCCGCGTTGCGACTCAAGCTTGGAAAACGTCTTCTTCTCCGCTCAAAATAAAACCCTAAATATTTCCACCTTCCAAAGATGGACACGTGGCAGCAGCCCACATTGGCGCCATGGATTTCCTTCGTCTCTTAAAGCAGCGGCGACACACATCGAAGCTTCTCTCTCTCTCTACTCTCTCTCTCTCTAGCCCGGGCACACGTTCCTTACCTATCTCTGTTTCTTTCTCATGTTGGGTGATCTCTTTTGCTTTTCCATGTGCTTCTCTCTCTAGTTTGGGGTAGTTTCTTCTTGCTTTTTCGAAGAAAAGCACCATTGTTGAAATGGGTTCTAACTCATTTTTTTGTAGCAGCGATGAGGCTGCAGTTGCAGAGATTCTGGTGGATTTCATTCACCATTTGTGGGGTGAGAGAAAGAAGAGCCATAATCATGCTGGAAAGCAGTCGTGGTTTTGTTGGGGCGCTAAAAAGCGGCGCTCTGCACTTTCTTTCTCTACTGATTCTTCTTCCCCTCTGCGCTACTGTAATGGTTGGGAAGGGTCTTCTCAGAGGATGAAGATACGGAGCCCTTCGAGCCCGCTCTCTCCTCCACTTTCTCTCTCTCAAAGTGGGAGTGAGACCGTTGATGCAGGGTTCGCTCCTTTGAAACCCAAGCGACCAAGGAAGAGAGGATCTAAGAAGAAGGTAATTTTGTTTTTATCAATGTTTTTTTGGGTAATTTGCGGATTTTATTGATTGTTGAAGATAATTTTTATTTTTTTCCTTCTTTGAAATTTTTTGTAATTAGGCACCATTTATTTGGGTTTCTGGAATTGGTCAGTTTTTATTTGTTGGTGACACGTACGTCCCACTCTGGTTTGGTTTCTAGAGGAGTTGACCTCTATTTTTTCACGGGTATTTTTTTCTTTTTATTTTAGGAATTATTTCCTGTCTGGTTGGTGCTTGGATTTGATCTTCTGTATATTTTTTTTATAATTGGGGTTTTATTTAGAAATGGAAATGGCGTTTTTTTGTTGGAGATTTTGGTTTTTTAGAAGGACAAATAATTTTGTTTCTTGTTTTTAACTTATCTTCTCATCCCTTTTTTATTTTTATTTTTATTTTTATTTTTTTAATTTCTGAGGAAATTTTGGTCCATGATGGGCACTTTTCTTGTCTACCGGAGGATTACGATTCACTAAACAGAGGCTCGCAATCCGCACTACTACAGATATACATTTTCTCTTATATTCTATTCTGGGTTTTTTAAAGAAATGTAAGATTTTCCTGTTTTGTGAATGTTATCTGCAATTTCTTGGGTAATATATCCAGTTTTATCCTTAATAGAGTTCCTTTTATTATCTACTGAACTTGTTTGGGTGGTGCAGTCTCACAAGGAGTTGAAGGAGATGGTGGCCCAGTTATTGGCAGAGCAGCAAAAACTCAAACTGGTTAGCCTCTCTTCAAACTCATCATTGTTCTCTTGTTTCTTTTTCTTTTCTTTCTTTTCCCAAAAATATCTGATTCACATGAGTGGTCCTGAACGGTCCTGATTTCTCAGTGCTGTTTCTCATCAGAGTCATCCTAACCGTCCATTCGACTCAATGATTGTCATCTTTACATGCTTATCAGATGCTCAATTTATCACCTATCAATAATGCTTTTGGATGAGCAGGATATTGTGAAATTCAAAGAACTTAGTGAGAGGTTAAGCCGTTTGAATTCACAGCTGAAAGATTGGCATACAGGGGTGGTATGACCTTTGAACTAGACACATCTCTCCTCTCAGTTTGTCTTTTATCATTTCTCCTAACAATTTTTCTGTGCGTTTTGTTATATTCCTTTTTCGGATACTTTTTTCTTATCTCTATTTTTCTTGGGGTGTTCTCTCTGTCTATAGAGCAAGTTTGAACCTGAAGGACTCTCGACCATGGAGCCTGAACCCGAAGCACTCTTCAGCATGGATTTGAATTCATGTAGAGGCCTTGATGTTGCCGAAGAATTAGAGGCCTCTGTCATGGACCCGTCGTCATCATCATCTCACTTACATCTATTTCCAATGGATAACCACATCACTGAGGCCAAGCCTATTGAGAGGCCAGCCTCCCCTGTTTCTTCCTCGCTAGAGGAGAAGAGCTTTTGTGGCTCAAGGCCTGAGAAAATGCTCTGCAATTTCGCTGGACGAGAAATTAACACTGTTGCAGATGAAACTCTCAGTCTTAACATTAGTTTCCATTACTTGGAGGTAACAAACAAGGCAGCCATTGCCGCTCAGGCGAGGAGGAGAAGGATTGATATCAACAGAGTAAAGAATTCGTTGAGCCAAAAGCCTCGTTCGAGGTGATATAAGTGTGCCCATTTTATTTTCTACCTATTCTTCCTTTTCTTATATGTTTATCTGATCAAGAAGGTAGGCTTCTATCATACATTTATCTGATCAAGAAGAAAGGTTTGTAGTTGATGCTTTCACAGGGTCACCAAGTAGGGGTAGAATTAGCCCTCAAATGAGGATTTCAGAGGTGAGGATCATTCTTTGCGGTTCTTCTTTCTATTTGATGCTAAATGTATCAGTTCATTATAAACAACTTTTGTGCTCCATGGTTATTAGTTGGCAAGCATTTTGCTTTTTCATCTTTTGCTACTGTGTTTGATTCATTACAAGAATTGTTTGATTTCTCTCTGTCAAATGACTAACTCATGCCAAGGAAACATTTTCAAGTTGCTGAGGGTGTACAAGAGTGCTCACATGGAATAAATTGTGGGTTTCTATGGGTGAAGGGGAACAAGGGTAGCGATCTAAGGAGGTGAGATATGTGCCTCCTCAACTGGCACCTCTTTTTTGTTTGTCACAAAATGGCCATCACGAGATGATGGTCCTAAGTAGGGCAGTCCTATGGACAGGGTGACCTGGACCGGCCCTAAAAAAGGTAAGGGTTTGGGCCACAAAAAGTTGCCCTGCCCGGCCCCTTTTTTTCTTGGTTGCCCTCTCTTTTTTTTTTTTACATCTATTTTTGGCTCAGGCAGGGCTTTAGCGGCCCGCACGGCACCAGGCCTGGGAGGACCTTATGGGGGCGACGGCCGGGCCAGGGCCATGACCAGTCCGGTTGTTGCCGTATTCCTAAGGTGGGGGTGAAGTCATTTCCTCCTAAGTTTGGGGCGTACTTTTTGGGTGCTAAGTGTGGGGCATACTTTATGGGTGCCACTGAGGACCCAAAGTGAACCCATCCTGAGATCGGATTCTGTTTCGGTCCAGATATAGCAAGGTTTTATAACTATACATAGGGGTCGGCTTTGGTTTCAGATGGTAGTCAACCCAGATCCAACCCAACATGTTAAGGTTCTAGTTGACTTGATGCAAACCTGATGGTGTACTCCCCTAATTATTTGTGTGTATTAGGTCCTTGATGATCGGGAGAACTAATGAGATCATTTAGTCCACCCTGAGATCGGATTCTTTTATGAGTCAGATATAGCAAGGGTTTATATCTATGCATAGGGGTCGGCTTTGGTTTCAAATGGTGGTCAACCCAGATCCAATCCAACATGTTTGGGTTCTGGTTGACCTGACCCAAAAGTGACGGTCTGTCTACTCTCCTAATTATTTGGGTGTGTATTAGGTCCTTAATGATCGGGGGAACTAATGAGATCATTGAACCCACCATGAGATCGGATTTTGTTTTGGGTCCAGATATAGCAAGGGTTTATATCCATACATAGGGGTCGGCTTTGGTTTCGGATGGTGGTCAACCCAGATCCAATCCAACATGTTTGGGTTCTGGTTGACCTGACCCAGAAGTGACAGTCTACTCTCGTAATTAATTTTTAGGTCCTTAATGATCGGGAGATCTAATGAGATCATTGAACCCACCATGAGATCGGATTTTGTTTTGGGTCCAGATATAGCAAGGGTTTATATCTATATATCGGGGTCGGCTTTGGTTTTGGATGGCGGTCAACCCAGATCCAACCCAACATGTTCAGGTTCTGGATGACCCGACCCAGACCTGACTGTCTAAACTCCCAATTATTTGGGTGTGATAGGTCCTTGATGATCGGGAGAACTATTGCGATCACACGGTTTTTCTAGATACTCCTTGAATTTGGGCTGTTCTTCAAGTTTTGTTGGCTGCATGGAGGCATATTGTGCTTTCAATAATGGGAAGCACCATATATGTAATCTGGGTGTTTACTTTTCAAATTTGGGTTTTAGGTTTTATTCCCTTAGTTGGGTGTTTACTTTTCAAATTTGGGTTGGGATTTGGGTTTTAGGTTTTATTCCCTATGGTTAGGGTTGGCAATGGGCGGGGTTAGGCCAACCTTGGCCCAGCGTGGTCTTGGCCCAGTTTGGTCCTAGTTCCCATGGGTCAGTCTTGGCCTGGCTTAGATGGGGCCCAAGCCAAGAGCCCTAGGCGGACTGTGTTGGGCCAAATAGAATCAAGGAAAAACAAAGGAAAAAAAAAAAAAAGGCCAGTCTATGCCTGCCCTGGTCGGGTGGGTTCCCACCCTTGGGCTGTAGTGGCCTTGCTCAAGTACAATCCTTTGGCCGCATTTTGTGCCCTAGTCTTTAGGGCCGGGCCAGGGGAGGTGGGCCAGGCCATCCATGCCCATGGCCACCCTATCGCTATTTATAGTTTGGGCGGCTTGGTTTTGTCTTTTGGTTGCTTACAATGCGGGGTACATCTCAATGTTGTGTGCAGCTGTCTCATTAAAGTGTACTCTTTCCATGCTGTAATTTAATATTTCTATAGTAGATTCATAGTTGTTAGAATGGGCTTGACTACTGAATTAGTTGGTGATCAAAACTAGTTCAACCACTATTTGAACCTGTTTGGCCATATATTTAAAAAATAAAAAAAATTAAATGCAACAATTTAAAATTGGGAAATATATTTAAAAGAATTTGCTCACCTTTGTTAAATTCATCAAAAGAGTTCCATCCGATCAATCCAAACCAGCTAAAAAATAGTTTGGACCAACTTTTGACCAAACTTAGTTTTAGCTTGGACCTGACGGCCAATGCAATCCGGTAGGTCGGACAGGTGGTCCTATCCAAATATGATAACGATGATTTATCGAAGGGTGTGGTTTGTATAAGGCCGAGGCCCTAAACAATCAAAAGTACGTTCTAGCCCTAAATAGTATCAAAAGATTAATTTTCAGTAGCAAAACTCTTTATGATGGCTTGAAATTTATTTTCATCTCTAATTATAAAATTTAAAGCTTTTAAAAATAGTATAGATCAAGTTGATTTATAACACTAAACTATATTGAAAATTGATGGCCCAGATAATGCATTGCAAGATGCACGATTTCCAATACTGAAAATCCTTTTTTTCTTTTCAACATCTATACATGTAAAGGGCAAGATGATTCATTTGAGGGTTTTCGATGTCAAAATAATCTCTACTAGTAAATTTTTGTGGTGCATCTTAATTTAATTATTTAGAGCATCAACCTTATTTAAACTTTTTCTTTTATCTAATGTTAACTATTGACAGTTGGTCTTGGTCTTATCTAACTGGCTAGTTTTATCTCTTAATTGGCATGGTTTGGGCTGCTATGGAGGACTTTTGACATGTAGGTATGTTGTTTGGGGGGATTAAAAGTTGAGACATCATATTAAGTGTGATATATTTTTAGCCCAGTAATGGTAATCAAAGTAGTGCTTGCAAAATTGCCCGATCTAACCGCTAACCCTCCTGTTAGATTGGAATCAACCAGCAGTTTCGGTTTTGGACGGTTATGGTGGTCAACTGGTATTTTAGAAAAAAAGTTAAAAAAAATGTATATAAATTTTTAAAAATAAAGAATTTTTTTTGTAGTATTTTTTTAAATATTTTTTACATTATGGTAAAGATTAAAAATTGTTTTGGTAATTAATACTCACTTTTCCCATCCCTTTCAGAAAAATTTTAAAATAGTCCTTGGAAAATATAAAATGGGTTAAAATTCATTTTTTTTTTTATTAATTTTCAACTTCATTTGAATGAGTTTTGTTTTTATATTTATTTATATGTTTTTCATATTTTGGTAGGTATTTTTTGTATTTTTTTCAACATAATTTTGACAGCCTGGGATTGGGATTTGTACGGTTAGAACGGTTGAATTGGTCGCTTTACCGGTTAAACTGTTTCGGGCCCATGTTCGATTAACTGTTTGCGAACACTGAATCAAAGAGCCAGCTTAGCATTGCTGATTGTCTTAAGTTAGAGACAGGGTCAATATAGCGATGAATCACATAAAATTTAGAGATGGTATACAATAATTATTTTAATCATTTAATATGATATCTGATAGCTTGGGTGTGTCACAAAGTTTGACACCATCCAATTTCACTCCTAATAGTCAAAATTACAGTCCTAATGGTCAAAATTACAAAATTAACTGCGACCGCTCATTATATACTTTTCTTAAATTTTAATATGCTTCCATCCTATTCTATCTACCTTATGTTACTACTGTTGGTTGTTTTCCCTCATTTTTCACGTGGTGGTCGATACCTCGTGCTGAGGTATTTGGCACAACATTTTAACTCACCTCTCTACTTTTTTTTTTTTAATATATATATCACGCTTAAAACACATATTTAGCACCTCACATTCATCATAACACTCATCGGTCAAGCTTTCACAACGCACAATTCACCCCAATCAATTAAAGAAAAATATGCAAAAAATCATTTACTTTTGGTACGAAATGTCATAAGCACTTTTGTTTTTTAGAATTCAAATTAGGTTGATTAGACTCAAATTTTTTTAATTTTTTTTTTTAAAAAACCTTGTGACACAATCCAGGCCATCTAATTTGATATTGGCTAAAAATAATTATGACTTCATTGTAAGAAAGATAAATAGTCCCATAGTATACAATCCTTTTCTTACTATGACAATCATTGGTGTCTGATCCAAAAGGTTTTAAAAAAAACGGATTGGTAACCCGAATTGGTGTCACCTATACCTGTATTGGGTTGGTGAATTTGTGGATCGGTTTGGAAAATCGGCTGAATTGGCAATTTTTGTCGTAATTTTTTTTCAAAAAATCACTATAAATCTCTAAAAATAGTATTTTTTTAGTTTATGAAAGAAATTACGAGTGATGCATTATGTTCTTTCTAAAAATAAGGTTATTTTATTTTATTTTTTAATAATTTTATAGTTTAAAGAATTACTTTTAATTTATAAAAATCCAGCCTAATCGGTTGGAGATATGACCAATTTTTTAGGGATTAGACTCCTCATGGATACAGTGTCCTGTCTAATTTTGATAACTATGTGACCTTAATAGGAGTTTTGTTCAGATAATGTCTGAATTTCTCTAGAACAGATCAAAAACATCAGAAAACCTCAGATCATACCCCCAAGAACATTGCCTGAAATGTTGCGACCACCACCAAATAGGTCGGGACGGATGTCTAGTGCTATCCTTGAAAAAATTTGAGCTAGGATTGGCTCAGTAATGCAAAGAGCGTCGGTAGAACCTTGACCCCAGCAATGCATATCTGGATGTTCCACTCTCTGGTTTTTTGGAAACCCTAGGAACCCTAGAGTTCATGTCATCCCTAACCTTTGCCGCTTCAAATCCTAGAAACCCTAGGTCCTTAACACCTAGTTCTCTACAATTCTTTTAGCTATGAAAC